TGAAAGGTTCAGGCATTATGCTGGCCTGCCCCTGTTACCTGGTGGAATCCACTCAGGCAATACCCTGGTCAGCCCAAGGTTCCATGGGAAAGAAGTCTGCACGCAGGTGCAGAGGACCCCTTTAAAAGATAGGCTTCTGCCCCTTTACTCTCTTTTTCTCTCTCTCTCTCCCCCTGTCTCGCTCTCTCTCTCTCTCTCTCTCTCTCTCTCTCTTCCTCTCTCTCTCTCTCTATGGCGACCGGCCATGGCGGTCAGCCATTTACCCCTGTTCCTCTTCTTAGTCTCCCCATTCTACCGGGCTTTATAATAAACTTATAGTCAATATGTCTGTCTCAGCAATTTCTCTTTTCTTCTTTTTAAACAAAAGAATAACATGAATGAGGTTTGCTGGAAGTGGAAGTCACAAAACAAAATAACAGAAAGCTGGTCATTGGGTTTTAACCTGATGTTATAGGCAAGGATCTTGTCTTACAAATATCCAGTTAGCATTGGTTCTAGGAGTATGACCCTATTTGCTTTAAGTCCTTTTTATAAGTAACTGGGATGCAGTATGCTCTCTTTCTTATGAATAAAGTGCCTGAGTTTTCCAGGTGTTACTTGAAAGAAATCATCTCAGCTTCCTAGATATTAAAAGTTCACTCCCTTGAATAAAAAGTTATATTGTTATATCTTTCAGTAAATAAATCATCAGCAACAGCTGTTGACAGTGGGTGTGAGTAGCAGAAATCACATCAGAGCCCTACACGGGCAGTAACTCTGTTATGCAGGAGTCACTAGGCCACACTGAGACTTCTGAGTGTACACATAAATACACTCATATATAACACACCTTACTGCAGATGGTTTAGCTCCAAATGATCTTATCCAAGCCCCTTATTTTATAGATGAAGGGATTAGGAATGAATATTTGAATTAATTGGTTTGGTGATTTAAATAAGCTTAGGATCTAATCCTTCTTACTTCAACCTTTTTTCCTTAGTCAACCGGTTCTTCATGCTTTGATATAATAACCTTTTATCATAAAGAATAAGATTAGTCTATCAGACTCCTTAAATGTTTTCAAATAATATTTTCAAATGGCTTCTAGGAGCTTGAGAGATATATTGATGTGTAAAACCCTTGCCAGATAATGGTGAAGACCTGAGTTTGGATGCTCAGAGCCCACTGAAAGCCAAATGTAGCATGTAGATGGGATTTATTACATGGGAAAACATACATATGTTGATTCTTTCAATTTCGTTTCCTTAATTAACCCTGACTGATACAAATGTTTCTGAAGACCATTTTCCTTAATCTTTTTCTTACAGGTATTGAAAATGAAACCCAGTACACAGGGATTAATTTTTGTTTTGTTTTATTGTTGTTTGCTTTTTATGGGTTTTTTTCCCCCTTTGGGTTTTTTTTTTCTTGTTTGTTTATTTGTATGTTTGAATCCTCTTCACAAGAAATCCAAGAAGAATACTGAAATATTTTAACTTTGCTTCTATTTATTATTCTCCCAGATAGTTATTCTGCCAGATAGATGGTATTGGCCAGATAAAACTTTACCCCAAACTGGGGTAAAGTATCACCTTAATGGATAGCTTAGCCTTTATCTGAAGAAGCTGGAAGTTAGATAAACCTCACAGGATAGAACATTTCCCCCAATCTTAGCATGGGGAGTGGAGTTCACAGAGCTTTGTGGCACTTGAATTTAGTGTGTTCCTTGTGTTTCTGTCCTTTCTGAGGTACACTAAAGTGAAGTGATTAAAAAATAAAAA